AAGTGATCCTCATGCGTGTAACGACCATCGATCATCAATGCACCAGCCTCTGATTCACTGCACATCTGCGGATTATTCTTCTGAAATCATCAACTTATCGATATCCAATCAATATTCAACACCATTAAATGCACACAACTGAATGACTGATTTTATCACACATAATAATAACAATAAATAAACACACCACCTCCACTCACTCACTCATCAAAATAATCACATCACAAATCAAAACTCACCACATAATTACGAACTTTCCCCATATACAAAGTCAGATTAGCCGTCAGTCTTGAACACAGCTCGGTGTCTCGTTGCACCGTTTCAATGAATTCATTCCTTCAAATCACCATTCAAATTGTGTTGGTATAATCAAAGAAAAGAACCAAATGGCAAATAAATTAACGAACACTCAAACAAAGCGATACATCAACTAACTTCGATAAATTCTTCGGTGTACTAAACGTGCAATCCGGCCCAATCATCATCAATCGCTGCATATGTTTCAGTGTTGGCAAAACGAACACTGAAAAATCAATTCATGTTTTATGCACACTCACAAACGATTCAAAATAAAATGAAAACAAACCAGAATCAGCCAACAACTCCTCAATGCATTTATGAATATAATTTCTCCTCAGATCATCAGCCCTTAAAATCGAATCAATAATTGAATAATGTGCATCCAACGCTGCGTCCATCAACTCAACGCACAATCGCTCATCACGGAATAAATCCCACAGCAACGATAACGATTGCAATGTCAACGCCTTCAATTCAATGAAACAATATATTGAAAATGATAATATCATCAACGAGGATATAACTACAAATTATCATCTTCAATAATAAACAAATAAATCGTAAGAATGTTCACAAACCTTCTCAGCATTTTCATTGAAATCGATTCCGATACGTCGTATCAAATCCAACAGCAGCGTTTTCTCCCGTGCCGACGAATCTGCCCAACTCTCCTCAAAAACAAATCAACAAAATTATTTCGCCACTAACGAATAACCATGAAAATATTATAATGAACTTTAAAAAATGTATTGCAATATAATCATATTCGATCCCAGTATTAAATACCCTCACACCATTCACTGTGCAACGGATATATCCCTTCCAAATTCTAAACCTCCCATCTTCATTCCCAGAGAATGCAACTTCAAAACAAACGAAACAGACCTTCATTCGCTTAAATAAACGCTCTTGCAATTGCACATTGAATGCGTTCGCCAGTTTACTGATTAAATCGTTGAAATTCCTTTGCACTGCGTCATGTTTCCCCTTCTGCGAGTCCCACATAATGTCGAGTTCATCAGCTGTCAGCACATCCTTTTCCAGAAGCACTCGAACGACACGCTCCAATCTAGAACCGTTTCAGTCGATATTAACCACAATAACACTGATGACAACTCATAAACTTAATAATCAACTAGATTACTGAATGAACTGATGATTAACAAAGATACAAACAACAATAAACCTCTCCACAAAAGCAGGATTGTGCAAATTATCTCTGAAGAGAATTTCAATCGTTGAATTAGCACGAAGCCATTGTGCCACTTGATCGATTGGAATTATCGAACACTGAAATTTTCGCTTTTTTTAAATTCTGCAAACCACAAATAAATAAATATATATATATATATATAAATAAACGAACAATCAAACGAACTGAAACGTCAAATACATTCTCTAATTTATATGCTCAAGTCGTTCATTGTTTCAATTCCCTCTGAACAATTAATTCGACTCAAACATTTTTCTGAATGAGATAAACAAATACAATGGATCTCAAAACATTTACAACCATAATCGCTGAATGCAAAGCAAAACGAAATCAATCACAACTATAACAAAACACAACATCAATTAACAATAAGCAAAATACAAAAACAAACCTGAGACGTGTTATATAAAATCAAATGCAATTCCTCCAATGCAGCTATACGACCAGCGAACGGCGCCACTTGTAGCACCCTTAACTTCATCACAATTATACTCATC